GTACATTTCTCAGTCACTCATCCATACCTTAAACAGATACATACATATTGAGTACCTACAAAGTGGAAAAAAATATATTAAACTCTGCAGACAGAACAGATGGGAACACTGGCTCTTATTTAGCATAAGGGACAGATAAAGTTTAGCGTAAAGTCTAAATTCATACAGATACTACAAGAAAACAAAATTCTATGCTCACATGACAGCACTTGATCTAGAGTAGGCCCAGGGAAGAGGTCCCTGAGGAACAGACTGTTGCCCTGAGGAATGAAGAAGAAGCAGAAAGCAAAGGAGAAAGAAAGCCACTCTAGGTAGGGGACAACATGTGCTGAAGTTTTATTACAATCTGCTTCTAGCCAAGAGAAAGTAACAGGTACTAATTTACCCTCCTACCTGAAACAAGCAAAAACAAAACAGAAAAAAAAATACAATAAAAAATAATGATTTTTCAAGACAAAGAACTTCAGGTAATGAAAGACAACGCCCCAGCAGATCTCTAGCTTAAGATAATTTCCAGATCATGACACAGGGAGAAGGTACTAAGGTGACGTCTACCAGATACTCTTAGGTGAGATGATGAAATTGAGGGTCTGGTGAAACCAAGAAGATAGAGATCACAGGTCAGATCACTGAAGAGAAAAGGAAGATCAAGAAAGAGCTCTGAAGATCTACAGAGGGGCCTTCTGGAGTATTCAACAGAGTAATAAGCAGTGAATTCATATGAAGAAGCCACCTGAGACCAAGGAGAAAAAATATCTGAAAAGAATAAACTGCACCAGAAATAGTGGTGCTTCCTTTAGCTAGTTTGGAAAAATTCATAATTAACAGGGCAATGAATAGAGCAGTGAGAAAGGTCTTGCCTTGGTATTGGGAAATAATTAGCCTGAGGGCATTACTCTGGATTCACCCAACAGATGAAAAGAGCAAGACAATGAAGGATCAAACTGTTTATAAGTAACTTAACTAAAAAAAAGAAAAAGAAGAAGAGTAAAGTCATGGAAGCTATTTTTTTCCCAAATAAGTAGCAGATTATATGAAAAATATAATGAGATTATATGAGATTATATGAAAAATATAATCTCAGAGATGACAAATATTCTGGTTGGGAATAAACATATATTACAATCAAACACACACACAAAAGACTAGTAAGGATGACCTTGGTGAACTGTGAGAAAAATTTTAAATGGCCATGATACAATTCTCCAAAGAGTTAGGGGAACGAAAAAAAAAAGTATTTTGAAAAAATGACCACAAACTTTCTAAACTTCATGAGAACTGTAGTTCCACAGGCCGAGGTAGTATCTGTGTAGGACAGGAGAAACAAAAGTAAACTGCTGTAATTTTGTCATACTGCATACGATATGGTATAGTAGTACTTGAATGTGGACAGTGATAAGTTAGTCTCACACTATAAACACTACAACCACCACTAAAAGAGTGAAACAAAAGAGTTATAGCTAATTATCTAATATAAGGAAATAAACTAAGTCATACAAATCACTTGATATTCTAGAAGGAAACAAAAGAAGGGGAACAAAGAGCTGGTGAGGCAAACAGAAATCAATCAGCATGATAACAGATTAAACCTAACTGTATATATATATATATATATATATATAAATTACATTAAAAGAAAATCATATGAAAACTTCAATGTAAAGGCATATGATCAAACTGAATCAAATAGTAAGTCCAACTAAATGCCACCAACAAGAAATGCAAGTTGAAAATAAAGGCACACATTTGTTAAAAGCATGGAAAAAGATATATACACTAATACCTGACAAAAAAGGAAGCTGAGCTGGTGTGGCTATGCTAATACCAGACAAAGTAGTTGTCAGAGCACAGACTATAATCAGCAATAAACCAGACAATTTCACAATAGAAGGGTCAATCTATAGGAAGGATAATAATCCTCTACGTTTATGAACTTAACACTAGCTATAGAATGCATGAAGCAAGTATCCATTCATGATAGTGACTCTAACCAAAATGGGGATGGAAGAAATCTACCTTAATATAATAAAGGCTATATACCACAAACTAACAACCAACATTATATTCAATGGTGAAAAACTGATAACTTTCCCCTTACGATTGGGAACAAAGCAAGATGCCCATTGTTACCCCTTCTTTTTAACTTAGTACTAGAGGTTTTGGTCAGAACTATCAGACAAAATCAAGAAACAAAGGAATACAAGTCGGAAAGAAGTGAAACTATCACTACTTACAGATGATATATTATATTTAGAAAAATCCCAAAGACTCTATCAAAAAACAATAAATGAATATAGAAACAAAAAATGAATATAGCAAAGTGGCAGGTTCAAAATCAATATATAAAAATGATAGTAATTTAATAAGCAGACATTATGAAAATGGCCATCCTACCAAAAGCAATTTACAGATTTAATGCTATTCCAATAAAAATTTCAATGACATTCTTCAAAGAAATACAACAAATATTGATGAAATTCATATGGAGCCACCAAAAATCCAGAATAGCCAAAGCTCTCCTGGAAAAAAAAAAAAAAAGAAGGGAATGGAGGTATCACATTCCCAGACTTCAAGCTATACTACAAAGCCATAATAATCAAAACTGCATGGTATTAGAACAAGAACAGACACACGGACCAATGGAACAAAATAGAAAATTCAAAAATAAACCCAGATTTATGGGCAACTAATCTCTGACAAGGGAGCAAAGAATATGCAATGGAGCAAGGAAAGTTTGTTCAATAAATAGTGCTGGGAATACTGGGTCACCACATGCAAAAGAATGAAGCTTGACTGGTGCCTCACACCATGCACAAAAGCCAACTCAAAATGGATCAAAGAACTAGACATAAGACCTGAAACTATAAAATAAATAGAAGGAAATATAGGTAAAACACTACACGACATACACCTCAGTAATAACTTGAAAGACACATCACCCAAAGCAGTGATAGTGAAGGAACAGATAAACAGCTATGGCTACATCAAATTAAAGAGCTTCTGTACCACAAAAGAGACAGTAACCAAAACAAAGAGACACCCCACCAACTGGGAGAAAATTTTTGCACACAACACGAATGATAAAGGACTGATCACAAAAATCTACAAAGAGCTGCCGAGACACAACAAAGACAAAGTAAGCAACCCAGTCAAAACATGGGCAGAAGAGCTAAAAACAAATTTCTCCAAAGAGGAAATGCAAATGGCCAACAGGCATATGAAAAATTGTTCAACATCACTTGTAATCAGGGAAACGCAAATCAAAACTACAATGAGATACCATCTTACACCAGTGAGAATGGCACATATTAAAAAAAGTAGCAACAACACATGTTGGGGAGGATGTGGAGAAAAAGGAACCCTCCACTGCTGGTGGGAATGAAAACTGTTCCAACCACTATGGAGAGCTGTGTGGGTATTCCTCAATCTGCTAAAGATGGAGTTTCCATATGATCCAGCAATTCCACTCCTAAGGTATTTACCCAAAGGACACAGAAACATTAATTCAAAAGGGCGCCTGCACCCCTAGGTTTATAGCAGTACTATTTACAATAGGTAAGCTATGGAAACAATCATAATGCCCCAAAATAATTGACTGGATCAAGAAGCTGTGGTACATATACACAATGGAATATTATTAATCAATCAAAAAAGATAAATACATGCAATTTGCAGCAACATGGATGGAAATGGAAGGGATCATGCTCAGTGAAATAAGCCAGAAAGAAAAGAAAAATACCCGATGGTCTCACTCATAGCAGGAATTAAGAAAACCTAAATAAGGGATCAGGAAAAAGACTAATTATAATAAAGTAAAAATCAAAATCAACAAGCAACTATAGGGCCTCCCCTGGTGGTGCAGGCAGTTGAGTGCCGCACTGTGAAGCTGTCTGCAGCCTCTGGAGTGCCAATTCATTCCTCATATCCAATGAGGGTCCCACATGGTGCGGCAGAGCTCTCCTGTCTTGCCAGCTGCTCCCCTCAGCAATGTATCTCATCAGTCTGCCTATTCTGTTCCTAGCTCTGTCTCTGGTGAATCCTCTCACCCTCCCATGCATCTAGCCTATACCCCGGTTATTTATGTATAAATAAATAAATAAATAATCATTAAAAAAAGAAAAAAACAAGCATCTATAAACCAGACACCCAATACAGGGAAGGGGAGAAAGGAGTAGGATCAAAACAATGGGGATGGGAATTGTCTGGGGACTATAACCAAGATGAGAATGCATACATTGTACAAAAATGAAAAATGATGTAAAAAATATACAAAACTGAAAAAACAAAAAGAAAAATAAATAAATATAAAAAGAAAAAAATAAAATAAATGATTCATTTCTCTAATTTATCTTTCTCTTTTCTCTGACTACCCTTTTTTCCCTTCTTCCTTGCTTCCTTATTTTTCTTTGTTGTTCTTTCTCTAGTCTTTTTGAAGTTTCCTTTTATCATTTGTTACTATCACAAATAGCTATGTCTTGGACTTAAAGTCTGTTTGTTGTTGACTTATTAAAAATGTTATATTATTCAATAAACTATACATTATAAAAAAAGGCAATTTAAGAAAATTAAAAGGCAATTCACAGACTGGAAGAAAATTCTTGTAAAAACAAAGCTGATCAAGAAACTGTATTTTCAAAATGTCAGAACTCTCAAAACTCAACTAATAAGAAAACAACATAATTTTTAAATGATAAAAGATTTAGACACAGTTCAAAGAAGATATACAGATGGCAAATAAGCAAACAGAAAGATAGTCAATAGTATTGGTTATTTGGGAAATGCATACTAAAACCATAATAAAATACACATTTGAACACCTATCAGAATGGTAACATTAAAAAAACTGGCATCAGGGCCTCCCCAGTGCTTGAGCACCCTGCTGTCCACAGCCTCTGCAGTGCGGGTTCAGTTCCTGGCCAGTTGGGGAGAAACCCACATGGCGAGGCAGACCTCTCTTGCCTCACCCGCTGCTCCCCTCAGCAGTGTCTTCGGTCAGTCTGCCTGTTCTGCTTCCTGCTCTGTCTCTGGTGAATTCTCTCACCCTCCCGTGCCTCTGACTGTACCCCAGTTCTTGCATAAATAAATAAATCTTTAAAAAAAAACTGACAACACTGAGCGTTGATGAAGATATGGAAGAACTAGAAATCTCATAAGCTTTGGGTGGGAATGGAAAATGGCACAAGCCCTTTAGAAAACAATTTGGTAGTTTCTTAAGAAGGGAATATAAAGGGACTTGAGGAGACTTTGAGGGGTGATAGATGAGTTAACTATCTGGATTGTGAGGATGGTTTCATCTTTGTATACATATGTCAAAACTATCAAATTATACAATTTCTATAGGTGTGGTTTACCTAACAAAAGCTGTTGAAAACAAAAAGTCTTATTGTAGGAAAGACTACGCAGTCACTGAGACACAGATGAGAAAAGGACATGGAATAACACAAAATGCAACTAGTGGATGGTGGCCTTTAACCTAGAGCATTGAGAGATACTAGCTGGATTTTAAGGAAAGGGTAACATTATGAGATCTGAAGTTAAAACAATATATATGACAATTATGTGTGCAGTACAGAAGAAGGTTTCCAGAGGTAAAATGTCAGGGAAAACATATCTGAGGATATTTCAGTATTCTAGGAGGGAAATAATGGGAATCTGACTTCGAGGAAAGGCCTAGGAGAGAGCAGAGTCAACAAAAAGTATCATGGGGATTCTCACAGCTCTTTGGCTGGAAGTAATCAATAGCTCTCATTTCATCTCAATATAAAACATATTTCTGAGGTGAATAACATGAGAACAGATCTGTGCTCTATAGTGAAGTACTAGACAAAGTGTGCATGTGACACTACAGTATATGTGTTAAGCCTTTATAATTAAACAATGCTCCTACCTTTACAATTCATGCAAAGTTGTTCCATTAACAACGTACAATTCTCATGTTCCGAGTAAAACGAGTCACAACCTGTTGAGGCTGTTTCAGATGTCTGAGTTATGTCATCAGAGTCATCTGTAGGATTGATTTCCTGTTTGACATACAAATAAAAATATTTCAAAATGCTCAGTAACTATCAATAAATATGCTAAGTGTACAGAGGTGATAAATATTCACCTTTTTATAATAGCAAAAACACAGGTACTCCTTAAAGGAACTGACTTTCATGAAAAGGATACCTTTATATATGATTATTATTTATAAATTATTTTTAAAGTAAACATTTTTATAATGATTTAAGACTTTCAAGTTTTTCCTTATATCTTTTAAAATGTATTTTTACCACAGAATAATTTTTGTCCTTATTTATTCTTTACTATACCTTCTTCTCATTAGATGTTTTCTTTACAGGCCTATAAAAGAAAAGATTTATTTTCAGGCAAATAGTAAATAGCCAACTATAAAGAATATCAAAACCTATTGTTATTATATAAAATCTTCTAACCCATACGTTCCTAAAACGGGATTAAACACCAAGTAAAAAGAGTAATAACATTAAAGACCAAAAATGTACTGTAATATTAACAAATTATTAAATTACTTCAAATTAACAATCAAAAGACAAAAAGTAGAATCAATGTTATTTACATGATTTCATAGGAAACATATTCTCAGGTTTTTTGTGGTGGTCATTTTCAATAAAAAACAAGCTTTCACTGGTACTAAAACCTAACTGAGAAGTATTGTTCAAGTCCTTATATGAAAAGAAACCTTTTTAAATCATCATGGTGGTGGCATGTATGGTAACATACATCTGAAGAGATATGAACCTATCACCTAAAATATAGACAGGGTTGTAAATGAGATGCTACAATAAAAAGAGAAAAAAAATCGCTCATCCTCATCTATCGCATTTCAGGAGTATCTTTCAGATAAAGTTCATTTTCTCTTGCCTCAGTAAGTATGCCAGATTATGCTGTTTTATTTTCAGTAAAACGTAATCACTGCTAATATTCCTTTGTCAAGACAGGAAGAATTTATAGATTTTACCTTCCAACATCCTGATTGTTTTCATGTCTCCTGCTGTCACCTTGCTCCGGAAATACTACACCAGCCGTCTCATGTGTTACTGTCAGAGGTTCTGTTGGCATATTAATTACATAGGTGCTTTTCTTTCCTTTTTTTCTAGTAAAGCCAGGAACTCTAGTTGAAAATCCATAAGAAACTGTTTTAGAGGAAATCTATTGTAAACATTAAAAAAAAAAAAAAAGGAAAAATTCCAAAACTTATCTAACCTACTTCATTTATTGACTCGGAAAGCCATGATGAAGTAACAACCATAAGCAAGGAAACATACTCCTTGCATCACTAACAAAAGACCCTGACCAAGGAACCAGCTAACTAACAAAACAAACCCTAGAAATTTGACTACAGAATTGAGGCTAAAACAGGGAAAGGAGAGGAGAAGGTGACAAAGGAACAGGGATGAGAATCCAGCGGTCTAGGATAAAGCACTCTGGGTGCTTTGGCGGTGGGGATCGTGTGGTAACATCCACCTGATGAGGTGGGAACCTGTCCCCTCAAACATACACAGGCTTGTCAACCAATGTTCCTTCGATGAAGTCACCCAAAACTGACTGGTCCTCATTGTTACCTCTCAGCAGTATTTGTCTGACAAGTGTAAGATTTTTCTTGTGTTAGCCTATAAGCTACATCATACAGTCTGAGTTCCAGAAGAGTAATCACTGCTAATATTCCTTTACCTATACAGGAAGAAATTATAGACATTGCTGCCATTATTCTGTCTTGATTCATGTCTTCTGCTGTCACCAGTCACTGAATGCAAAACACCAGACTTCCTGCTTACTTTAGGCACAGATACTGGTGAATTACATGTTTCATTTTTGCTCTTCTTTACTCCATTTTTATGTAAGCCAGGCATATTACTTTTGAAAAAGAAACAAAATAAAGCTAATTAAAAAAAATACTTATGATGATTTAAAACACAACTTTTGTAAAATAAAAATAAAATGGGAAGGGTTGAAGAGAAACAGGAAAAACAAAAACGAAAGAACAATCAGGTTACAAAATGTAAAATACTGGAACAGAAGTCACCACAGTAATTTTGAAAACTACTAAATGCTAAATTTAAAACCTAGAGTTCACTGACTCAAAGTTATGACACACAGATGTGGAAATACTAATTAGCCAAATATGATGCTTATCAATTTCTTTTAAATATAATAACATGTAAATGGAAAAATACTATTAGAAACATACAATATGAATGAGGAAATCCAGGAAATATGCTGGGGCTGGGGTGAAAATGCTTATATGTTGGTTTGACTTCTGGTTCATGATCAAATAAGTCATAATTCATCATGCCCCCTTCCAAGAACAATTTGGTGTCACCCATGGACAAAACAAAATGCCTTTCTGAGAGTTGAGTGTTCCAGTCCCATACACAAGAGATCTCAGAGGGATGGCAGCTTCGTTGTAGTGTGTACAGGCTCACAGACCAGTCTCAGCAGTGGACCCTGCAGGGCCCAAGACTTGGCTCCACACACTCTTAAGCTGCATCCAGGAACAGCTGGAAAACCCTGCCTTCAGCAATCACTCCAGATGGGGCAGCATTCATTGAACTGCAGACCTTAATTTCCATTCTCCCCAAAGCCTATTTAGAGGAACAGGTGGTTGTGTTCAAAAACACCATGTCACACAGCATACATTTCTCCTACCATGGGGAACAATACAGACAAACATCGTAAGTTAATTTTACATACTGACAGTTCATAATTCTGTGGCAAGAATTTTTTTAAACTCCTATAATTTACTAGTTGCTTCTTTAAGTAATAGCATATAAATAGTTTTTCTACTCATCAGATCCATTTGACCTTATATAAAATACCATATACAAGTAAAAGGTTTAAAAGTGAGGAAATATATGACTGAGCTTAAACCCCACAATGCAGAACATGCATAGAGCAAATACTGCATATTGCAGAGAGCCAAAGGAATCCCAAAGAGCATATAATTGACAAGTAGACTTTCACCAGGGACCCACACAAAACTGTTTAGTCTAAGTGAGAATTAGTATAAAATGTAAAATAAAACACACAGATTAAACTCCATTCACTCAGTGAGCCTTCAGGGGATAATATTCCAGCCCAGTTTGGGCACTGAAATAATAGAAGAGATCAGACCAAAATCCTACCCTTGAGAATGAAGTAAACAGATGATGAACTCGATGTCAAAACATATATCCTGCTAGAGTATACTATAGCAGAGATAAGGAAATTTGGAGGTTTGTAAGCAGGGAAGGCATAAGAATAAGACTCAAAATGGCCAACCCCTCAGATATTGCTGAGAAAGTAGCTTGTGAAGGAATGAAAGGAGCAATCATAAGGATATCAGAAGATAAATCATTCCAGTTAGAATCAACAGCAAGTACAGGGGTATGTCTTCAGGGTGACAGAATGTTGAAAAGGTCAACATGGTTGGAGCACAACGGAAGGGACAGAATATGGAAATTCTTTTTTTCTAAGATTTATTTATTTATGCATACAATAACTGAGGTGCAAGCCAGAGGTGTCAGGAGGTGGTGAGAGGATTCACCAGAGATAGAGTGGGGAACAGAACAGGTAGACTGACTGAAATACACTGCTGAGGGGAGCAGCGGGTTGGACAGGAGAGGTGGCTGTGCCATATGGGTCACCTCCCTGACCGGCCAGGGATCAAAATCATGCTGCAGAGGCTGTGGATAGCTTTACAGTATTGTGCTCAACCACTTGTGCCACCAGGGAGGCCCCCTAGAATACGGAAATTCAAGTGACAGTGAGAGACAGAGACTTCAGGGAGACAAAAACTGATCTAAGGGGAACAGAAAGTGTAGGGGTTGCTTTGTATTTGAAGAACATTGGCATGTACTGCGACTGAAGAGGGAGTCAAAACAGAGGAACAGCATAATCTTTGCTATGTCAAAATAGGCCACTGATTTTAAAGAGTAAAAAAGACAGATACTAAGAAACCAAATAAAAGTTTTGGACACTAGTAAAGAGAGCAGATGATTTGGGATTCAACATGTAACAGGATATTGGCTTCGGGATATATTTGGCAGGGAAACCTGACAAGATTGACCATCAGATTCAATGTCAGAAGCAAAAGAAAGAGAAAGATAACAACCAAAGTGACACCCAACACATTGACAGAACAAGGGATGCCACTAAGGAACTAATACTCTGCAAGAGTGAAGACATGAACAGAAGAACTGGTGTGAGAAACAATATCAGTAATTCAATTGGAGAAAAGGGAAACTTGCATAACAACAACCATCCATCAAAAAGAATGATATCCAGCAAGGGATTTGATTTCAGTAATCAAGAAAAAAAGATCTGAAGTGGAAATATCATTTTGGAATCATTAATAAATACAAGGAAATAAAAGTCATGTGACAGAGGATCAAGGACTGAATCCTGGGATTTTTACTTTACTCAAAAGTAGGGTGGAGTTGAAGAGCTAGGAAACACAGACTGAGGTAGAAGAAAAGGAAATACATCAGGGACACAGGTAAGTGAGTTCTCCCTCTGAAAATGCCAGACCTGTAATCAAATGAAAGCAATGTTGCAGTAAAGAGATTTCCATTAAGGAAAACTTAGCCTATCAGTCTAAAACAGTATGTGTGGATACAGTGATGTGAAAAATTGGCAGTAATCTTTAAAAAGCAACTTTGGAGGAGGGGTGGGTAAGAAGTTTACTGGAGCGAATTCAAAGTGAAAATAAGGAGGAGGATGGATGTTGCTGTAGGACTTAGCTAAGTAGTATGACAGTGGAGGATCCTGTTCTCTTCTTGTTTTACTGTAGATTCCAACACCCAATAGTGATTATTCAGGACGTTTTATTACTAAAATTTTTCTTAATTTTCAGTGTGGTAATAATTGGTAAACATGGCAGACCAATTCAAAATATTTATAAAATTAAGAAAGCAAGGTTTCTGAAATGTTTCCATTCATGGAAATGAATCTATTCATTGAATCTTTCATACAAAACAAAGTATTTAATGTAAAACAGCTCCTCCACAATATAACTAAACAAAGAAACAAGCAAAATTAAACCAAAACAGCCCCTGGAAATATGGCTGCAGAACTGAGGCTACTATACGGTGACAGGAGACAGAGAAAACAGAACAGAGGGAGCCCAGATATACACTAAAGCACTATGAGTGCTGTGATGGTGGGTGTCTTGTGGTAAAGTACATCTTGCGATGTGTGAACCTATCCCACCACACATACAGAGGCTTGAAAAACAATGTTCCCTCAGTGAAATAAGAAAAGAGTCACTGGACCTCCTCTTTCCACTTTTAGCAGTATTTGTCTGAAAAGGCTGAGCCTTCTCGTACTTTGCCTAGCACACTATACCATGCTGCTTGATTTCCAAACAAATAATCACTGCTAATATTCCTTTAAGATTAGAGGGAGAATTATGGATTTTACCTTCTGGCATTCTCATCTGAGTCATATCTCCTGGCATCTACATTCACTGGAAGTTCAGCACCAGCCTGCTCGCTGACTTGACCCACATAATCTGGTGAAGACCATGGATCAGTTTGGCTTTCCTTTACTGCATTCTTCTGCAAGCTAGGATCCGTCCTTTAAAAAACAAACCATGTGAAAGCTAATGTTTATTAAGAAATCTTCTGATAAAGACTAATAAAACATCTTTTATAAATACCACAACTTAGTCATTGATTAATTTTTGAAATATTTATGAAGAAGTAAAAATGAAAAGCAAGGAAACAAACCCCATGCTGCAAAGTCAGATATGCAATCATGATACTATCTGATAGCTAAGAGCACATATATGGCATGCTGAAAGTGAGCACAATGGAGGCTTTGCAGAGGAGGTAAGAAGACACAGAGGGAAGAAAACCATTCCACATGGAGGTTACAACATGCATACAAAGATAAGGCACATCACAACTATGTGTTCCCAAAAACTTGAAAGTGTAAGATCAAAACACTGAGAGATGAGTGACCCAGAAATTCTGATATATCTTGAAAGCTACACAAGTGTCTAAGTTCACTGCCAAATACTATTGACTCTAGGCAAGAATGTACTAATAAGATGTGTCATGTGATATTGGCCTTTTGTAATGCAATAATGTGCAACTGATTGAAAAATTTTGGGTTGTTGGAAAAGTCATGACATATTTTTTCTGTGTTTTTCAAGCAAAAATGTATCATGACTTTTCCAAGAGTCCAACAGTATGAAACAGATATAATGGAAAAATTCTAAGAAATATCTCATGGGTGAGAATAGATTAACTTTTAAAACAACCATCTGTTGGAAAGACATCAGGGTCCTGACCAAATAAGTTTTACTTCATCAGGTCCCCACCAAGAACCACAATTTGGCATCACTCATAGAAAAAAAAAAATAGGCCTTTCTAATATCTGCGGGTTCGAGTACCAACACCAAGGGATCTAAGAGGAGACTTAGGTGCAGTGTATAAGGTGAGGAATTAAGACAAGAGGTCTAAAGAATAATGAAAATTTGGGAGGACATTAGCATATATAAAAAGTGGCAGTCATGAGACAAAAGATCAAAGCCAATTTTGGGATACTTCAATCCCTAAAATAGGAAGTGGGATTGAAGAAATTGAACAAATATATTGAGGTGGAAGAATGAGAAGTGCACAGCAGACACCTAGTAATGAGTTCTCCCCCTTAAAAAAGAGTCCTGGAGTTAAATGAAGATATGATGTTGGAGGAGAGAGATTTCCACTGAAGAAAATATAGCCCATCAGTGTAAAAAGTATGTGTGGATAAAATGAACACTTGGTGGTGACTGATCAAAGGCAGTTTGGAAGAGCGGTAAGTGGAGAAATTAAAAGTGCAAGTTCAAGAGTGAATATAAAAGAGGAACTAGGGGATGGACAAACAGTTCTGTATGACTCATAAGCTTAGGACTATGACTGTGGAGGATCCCATTTTCTTCTTTGACTGTAGTTTGCAATACCCAATCATGATTATTTACTATTTTTGTATTGCAATGCTTTTTTTAGTCACATCCATTTACACTCAAAGGTCAACTAAATGGCAAACAATTCAAAGCATTCATATAATACCTGCAAATAACAGCAAAGGTCTCTGGAATGTGTCTATTTATTGAATTGATTCTATTCATTGAATTCATGAATAGAAAACTGAGAAATTTATTGCAATAAGCTTTTCCACAAATAACCAAAATAGGAATTGGAAACACTACCAAAACATACACTGGAAATATAACTGGAGAATTAAATCTATTTGAAGGTAAGGTGATGAGACAGAAGAGAGAGAGGCCCAAAGTTTACAGTAAAGTACTATGGGTGCTTTGGTAGCGGGTATTTTATGGTAACACACATCTAATGAACTATGAAACTAGCACCAAAATCATACACAGGCTTGTAAGCCATTATCTCTTGCATGAAGTGACAAAAAGCACATTGGGTCCTGTTTTCTTTTTTTTTTTTTAAGATTTATTTATTTATTTATACAAGAGCTGGGGTACAGGTCAGAAGCATGGGAGTTTGAGAGAATTCACCAGAGCCAGAGCAGGGAGCAGAACAGGCAGACAGACTGAAGACACTGCTGAAGGGAGCTGCGGGTGAGACAGGAGAGGTCTGCAGTTTAAATATAAAGTTGGGGATCACTAGCACATACAAGAAAGTAACAGTCATGTTTTTGTTAGAAGACAGAAGATCAAGGACTGAATGTTAAGGCTCCTCCTCAATTTGGATAAAAGGAGGATGCAGTTGAAGAGAAATAGGAAACACAGACTAAGATAGAAGAACAAGAAATGCTTGGGGGGAACCTGATACATGAGTTGAACCTCAGAAAATACAAGTCCCGAGAAGCAAATGGAGAAATTATTTTGAAGGAGAGATTTCCATTATGCAAAACTGTTCACTCTTTTTGATGGATGGCTGTTGTTATGCAAGTTTCACTTTTCTCCAATTGAATTACTGATATTGTTTCTCACACCAGCGTGAACACAGAAAAATTAGGGGATGGACAGTTCTGTAGGACTTAGGTTAGTGTCACAGCCATGGAGGAGACCATTTTCTTCTTCGGCTGTATTTTGCAATACCCAATCAGAATTATTTAGTATTTTTGGTACTACTCTACTTTATATCAAACCACCTCTTTGTGACATTCAATGGACAACAAAACGGTGGAACAATAAAAATTTATAAAATCTTATAAGAAAATATTCTGAATGTTTCTATTAATTGAATTTGTAGATCACTGTAAATAGAGCTCAAAGTATTTACAGCAACAGATCTCCTCAACAAAGTCACTAAACAAAGCAAATGACAAAATTAAAAAAAAAAAAACAACAAATATAGGACATAGGACTGAAAAATTGAGGCTGAGTGTGGGAGAGTTAGACAGGGTGACAACACAAAGGAGGGGCCTACGGTCTAGAGTAAAGCAGTGTGGGTGTGATGGTGGAGGGTGTCCTGTGGTAGCATCCATCTGATGAGGTGTGAACTTATCCCCTAAATCATACACAGGTTGTAAATGAATGTTCCCTCAACAAAGGGGCAAAACACAAAGTGATTCTCATAGTTCATAGTTTGGCAGTATTAGTCTGATCAGGGTGAGATTTCTCTTGCCTTGGACTGTCAACTGTATTATGCTGCTTGTTTCCCACACAGTAATCACTGCTAACAATCCTTTAAACTGAAAGGAAAGTTTATAGATTTTACCTTCGGGGAATCTCAACTGGGTCATGACTCCTGTGATTCACATTCACTGGAAGGGCAGGACCACTCTTCTTGTTGATTTGGCCAACAGATTTTGATGAAGGTGTTAAAATATTGTTTCGCTTTTTTGCTAACTTCTTCAGGAAACCAAGAACCCTCCTTGAAAAACAAAAGTAACAACAACATATGCAGGAAAATACTTCTTTGCTTCAAAGCCACAAGTCCAATTCTGATACCATGTAATAGTACATTTATGATATGCTGTAGGTGAGCATCTGGGAGGTTTTAAAATGGGGGTATAGGGAGGGGGCGGAGCAACATGGCGGCGAGGAGAAGCTGCGAGTAAGATCTCCCATTAAAAAAAGTGAATAGGGAGGAAAAGCGGCAGGTCCCAGTGAGAACTGGGACACGGAAGATAAACGGGTGACTCCAGCAAACTGCCCAAAGAAGAAAGTGGCCATAAAAGAGGACCAGAAGGGAGGGAAGCGCAGAACCCTGCTCCCCTCCCCCGCCCACAGAGGCGGCACTCTCCGACCGGCAGAGGGGAGGAAACAACAAACCAAAACGGCCAACAAGAAAAACGGACGCAGCAAGCGGGACTGTGAGTGGAAAGGAACTATTTCAGCCACCACACCCCGTGAACGGGAGCTGTGGAGAACCCTGCAGGATTCGCCGCGGCGGTGAGCGAACGGCTCCGGGCGCCATTAGAGAAGAACAAAGACCCCGGGAGACGCGCACACAGCCCGGGCTGCCGGTAAGCTTGCGCGGATAGCGGTGCGCTCGGCGCGCTTGAAAAGCAAGTGCAGACCAGGATCGCGGCTGCCCAGGTCCCCGCGCCTGCGACCTAGGCTTGGGAGACGACCTAGGCTTGCGGGGAGACGCGCGGAGGTCCTCACTGAGGTGAAGGTCCCTCCCTGAGTGAGCAGGAACCAGGCGCCCAGGCAGGGGAGCGGTGCAAAAGGCGCCCTTCCCGCGCCACTGAACTGGGCTACAGCCCGCGTCCTGGAACTGAGGGCTTTGGAACTGAGACCCGGGGCACGAAATTAGGGGCGTGGGTTCCCCACGACGGTGGGGCACAAGGCAGACACAGCACCCCAAAGCCGTTGAGGTGTACCCTACCATCTCCGCTTTGCTCCCTGTCCCACGGCGTGGAAAATCAGCTCCCCAAGGGCTCTAGGAGAGATCTCTGGCGCCACCTAGCGACTTGTAGACAGCACAGGCTCCTGAAGGAACTAGTGGCCAGCTGGGGAGTTAGCCCACACCCGGCCCCTTCCGAACAAGTAGTCTGAGCCCACAGGGAGAGCGAGCACCCACAGCCAGGGCAGACCAGGCACGCAGAAGAGTGTGCCTGACACCGGACGCGCAGGGAGTGTGTCCCACATCACCATTTTAGAACAGGGACATTTCTTCAGTAAAGACTACCTGAAGAAGGCTTCCTCAGGAGCCAGAGGTGAGCGGGGGAAGTTCGCCCACGCCAGACCCCCTCTGGCCTGCAGTCCAAGCCCAGAGGGGGAGCAGGAACCCACCGCCGGGGCAGACCAGGCGCACAGGGGAGTGTGTCCCCACATCGACATTTTAGGACAGGGACCTTTCTCCAATAAAGACTGCTTGAAACTGACAGATGACTCCAGGAGGAACCAGAGGGGAGAAGAGAAGCCCACCCAAGATGCCGGCCAGTCCCAACAACACAGTGTCCCAACGCATACGGCAAATTAGAAAACAGACAGTAGGGAGGAGAAGAACCACACGCAACCTAGCAACTCTCCAGAGAAAAAGCACACCACAAAAAGAAAACCAGCCCCCAGATTGCAACGACAGTAACTTGGAAGAACTTCTGAGCCTTCCAGAAAGAGAATTTAAAATTGCCGTGATTAAAAAACTGAGAGAAGTCATAAAGGAAAACAATGATAAGGGAAAAATAATCAACGATCAGAAGAATGAAATTGAGTCCCTAAAGAGGGAAGTAAAAGAAATGCAGGAGATCAAAGAATTAGTGGAAGAACTAAAGAATTCTGGGAAAAGCAATGAAAGCAGAATTGATGAAATGGAAGAACGAATAAGTGCTCTTGAAGACACAGAAATAAAAAGAACCAAAACAGAAAAGGAAAGAGAAGTATGAAGGAAAAAGAATGAAGAAAGACTTCGGGAACTATCTGACTCCATGAGGAAAGGAAATATAAGAGTTATAGGAATACCAGAAGGAGAGGAGAGAGAAGTAGGAACAGAGAAAATATTCAAAGAGATAATTGAAGAGAACTTCCCAAATGTGAAGAAGGAGCTGAAAATTGATATACAAGAAGCAAGAAGAACACCAAACTTCCACGACGAAAGAAAAAATACAGCAAGACACATAATAGTAAAGCTCCCAAGAATCCAGTACAAGGAAAAAATAATGAAGCTGGCAAGAGGGAAGAAACAGATAACATTCAAAGGAAAGCCAATCAGGCTGACATCAGACTTCTCCGAAGAAACACTACGGGCAAGGAGAGAGTGGAGGGACATAGTCAACAGACTCCAAGAAAACAGATGCCAACCAAGAATACTCTATCCCGCAAAGCTCTCCTTCCTCTTTGAAGAAAGAATATGGACCTTCCCAGACAAACAGAAACTCCGGAATTTCATTGCAAATAAACCCCCACTCCAAAAAATACTACAAGGAGTCCTAAAGCCAGAACCTCAGAGGGACGAATAACAATGAAAGAAGGCCAAAAAAAAAAAAAAGTTATTAAAAGAATAAATAAATAAGATCAAAGGAAAGACAAACACAATGGCAAATACAGATGTTAACATATCAATATTAACTCTAAATGTAAATGGACTAAACTCTTCAATAAAAAGACACAGAGTTGCAGCCTGGATTAAGAAACAAAACCCAACCTTTTGCTGTCTCCAGGAAACACATTTAGCTACAAAAGATAAAAATAGGCTCAAAGTCAAAGGATGGAAAACAATCCTACAAGCAAATGGGCCAAAAAAGAAAGCAGGAAAAGCTATACTTATATCAGATAAAACAGATTTCAAACTCAAAAAGATAAAAAGACACCCCAATGGTAACTACATTATGATCAAGGGGACAATACTTCAAGAAGAAATAACACTCATTAACATATACTCACCAAACGAAGGAGCACCAAAATATATCAGACAACTGTTGTCTTCTCTGAAACAGACATCAGAGAAAAACACATACGTAGTGGGAGACTTCAACACACCACTATCAACAATGGATAGATCAACAAGACAAAAAATAAGTAAAGAAACCAAAGCTCTAAATAAGGACCTAGAGCAATTGGGCTTAACAGACATCTATAGAACACTAAACCCCAAAAAAACGGAGTACACACATTTTTCTCAAGCGCACACGGATCATTCTCCAGGATCGATCACATACTGGGTCACAAGACAAACATCAACAGATACACCAAGATTGAAATCATACCAACCATCTTTTCTGACCATGAAGGCATCAAACTAGAACTAAACCATAAAAAGAAGGCAAGGAACTTTCCTACCTCATGGAGATTAAAACCACACTACTGGAAGACCACTGGACTAATGAGGAGATCAAAGGAAATTAAAAATTTTTTGAATTGAACGACAAGGAGGACACCAATATCCTAATGTATGGGATGGCAGCAAAAGCAGTAATAAGAGGAAAATATAGCAATAGAAGCTCACATCAAGAAACAAGAAAGAAACTCAAGAAACAACCTAATCTCGAAGCTCAAAGATCTAGAAAAAGAACAACAAAAAACCCCAAAACCAGTAGAAGAAAAGAAATAATAAAAACCCAAAGCAGAAATTAAATGAATTGAAACTAAAAAACAATCCAAAGATCAATGAAACCAAGAGCTGGTTCTTTGAAAAAATCAATAAAATAGACAAACCCCTAGCCAGGCTCACAAAAGGAAAAAGGGAGAAAGCACAAATAACACAGGATCATCAATGAAAGAGGAGAAATCACAACGGACACAGAGCAGAAATAAAAAGAATAATCAGTAACTACTATGAACAGTTATATGGAAATAAGTTAAATAATCTAGAGGAGATGGACCAAATTCCTACAACTCTACAATCACCCAAGCTAGATAAGAAGAAATAGAAAACCTAAACAGACCAATTACAATTAGCGAAATTGAAATGGTAATTCAAAAACCTCCCCAAAAACAAAAGCCCAGGACTTGATGGATTTACAATGAATTCTACCAAACATTCGAGACGAATTAGTGCCTATCCTTCACAAACTCTTCCAAAAAATTGAGAAGGAAGGGACAATACCAAACACGTTTATGAAGCCAACATTACACTAATACCAAAACCGAACAAGGACAACACAAAAAAGGAAACTACAGGCCAATCTCCCTAATGAACCACTGATGCAAAATCCTCAATAAAATTTTAGCCATCAGAATCCAACAATGTTCATAAGATAATTCACCACGACCAAGTAGGATTCATTCCAGGGGCACAAGGATGGTTTAACATCCGAAAATCAATCAACGTTATCCAACAACAAAACGAAAATATAAAAACCATATGATAATATCAATAGATGCTGAGAAAGCTTTCGACAAAGTGCAACACCCATTCATGATAAAATCCCTTGAAATTCTTGGGATACAAGGAACATACCTCAACATCATAAAGGCCATCTATGACAAGCCAACAGCCAGCATTCATTCTCAATGGTGAAAAGCTGAAAGCAATTCCATTAAGATCTGGAACAAGACAAGGATGTCCACTCTCACCACTGCTTTTCAATATAATACTGGAAGTCCTAGCCAGGGCAATAAGACAAGAGAAAGACATCCAAGGAATCCCAAATAGGAAAAGAAGAAGTCAAACTATCACTATTTGCCAGACGATATGCTATTATACATAGAGAACCCCAAAAACTCCACAGAAAAGCTTAATTCAACTCATCAATCAGTTCAGTAAAGTGGCAGCGATACAAAATCAACATGCAAAAGTCAGTAGCCTTCCTATACACAAACAAATAAATCTGAAGAAGAAGAAATCAAAAAAAACCATCCCTTTTGTTATTGAAACAAAAAAATCAAATAGTTGGGAATAAATCTAACAAAAGAGATAAAGGACCTATACAAAGAAAACTATAAAACACTGTTAAAAGAAATAGAAGAAGACACAAAGAAATGGAGAGACCTCCCCTGCTCGTGGATTGGAAGAATAAACATTATTAAAATGGCCATCCTTCCAAAAGCAATATACAGATTCAATGCTATTCCAATCAAAATTTCAATGTCATTCTTCAAAGAAATAGAAACAATTATTGATGAAAATTCATATGGAATCACAAAAAACCCCGAATAGCCAAAGCTCTCCTGAAAAAAAAAAGAAGGGAATGGAGCATTACACTCCCAGACTTCAAACTATACTACAGCCATAATCAATCAAAACTGCATGGTATTGGAACAAGA